TTATCGTATTAATGGGCACTGTATGATATAGATTACGAATTACAACTCTTTATGCTTTATCCTCTTTCATTTGGTACGTATGATGCACATTTTTTTTGCTGTGTAAATATTTTAACAGTTTTCGGTATGTTTTAGAGACTGTCGGAGTTTTACGGGTCCCGTAAATTTTCAACCGAGAACCAATTTAGAGTATTTAACATCGTCCTAATTGGGGTACGGCGATTTGTTTTCAGAATTATTCTCATTCCACGGTTCTGTAATTCTTTTAGCATGTTAAGTTTGTTAAAGTTAAATAAATATAAGATTGATGAGTAATAGTCAAAATGAGATTGAATAATTGTGAATACTGTTATTTTTGAATTCATTGATAAATTTTAAGATATTCTACTAAGAAAGTAAAGTTTTTTTAATATTTTTTTATGAACGTATTCGAAGTGATTTTGAATAGCTAAATCCAAATTAGAGTATCATCGGCAAAAAGATTAATAAGTTCACAAATTACAAAAATATCGATATCGTTAATGTTCAGAAAAAAAAAAAGAACGGGTGTGGCAGTCCGGTGAGACTGCCGGTAGAAGTTATACTTCTACAAACGCGTTCGCCGTTACAAATTCATATGGGAGTCAATCTGCACAATCGTTACATATGTAATGCTATAGGTAAGCGAGAGAGAGAAGAAAGAGAACAAGAATTATATAGTTATATGGTGCATCGTTTGCTGTATATAAACAATTGACCTGTAGTAGGAGTGTAGTAAATGAAGGATTGTATCAATATTTTAATGAAAATATATATATATATATATATATATATATATATATATATATATATATATATATATATATGTTAGTTTTGATATTTCCGCGGGAGCTGTATGTTATATCAATGGTATTCCGGGTTTGACTCCGCGTTAAATGTTGTTGGTTTTGATAAAAACCATTTTGACGACGTTTCGGCAAGATCTCACTTGCCATTTTCAAGTCTCTCTGGATGGTCTGCTTTTTGTCGATGTTCGAGTGGAAGTGTCCACTTCCATGCACCAACATTTAACGCGGAGTCAAACCCGGAATACCATTGATATAACATATATATATATATATATATATATATATATATATATATATATATATATATATAATACAAAGAAGGTTGCGTTTCGATTTAATTTGAGTCTCTCACCACTCCCTGACACGTGTTTCTCGGTCTACCCGTCATCAAAGGGAGTTTGTAAGAAGACTCAAACCAAATCAAAATGCACCGATTACTCTGGCAATTACGTGAAAATAACTGCCAGAGTATGCAACTAGAGACCTCTAGTGAAGAAAAATAAAGATGTAGATACGTCGATAGAAATTAAAGTAAACTGTATACCCAAGCTTAACCAAGCCATTCAGAGTGGTACTGGGAATAAATGTATTCCACGATGCACCAACAATTTACCCATATAAATTATCATCATTTTTGTACTCATTGCATCGAGTAAGGAGGATAAATATACGAAGAAGGTTGCGTTTCGATTTAATTTGAGTCTCTTACTACTTCCTGAAAATGTTTCTGGGTCTACCCGTCATCAGAAGGAGTTTGTAAGAAGACCCAAACCAAATCAAAACGCACCGATTACTCTGGCAATTACATGAAAGTAACTGCCAGAGTATGCAACTAGAGACCTCTAGTGAGGAAAGATGAAGATACGCCGATAGCAATTAAAGTAAACTGTATACTCAAGATTAATCAAGCCATTCAGAGCGGTACTGGGAATAAATATATTCCACTATGTACCAACAATTTACCCATATAAATTAACATCATTTTTGTACTCATTGCGTCGAGTAAGGAAGATAAATATACGAAGAAGGTTGCGTTTCGATTTAATTTGAGTCTCTTACTACTTCCTGAAAATGTTTCTGGGTCTACCCATCATCAGAAGGAGTTTGTAAGAAGACCCAAACCAAATCAAAACGCACCGATTACTCTGGCAATTACATGAAAGTAACTGCCAGAGTATGCAACTAGAGACCTCTAGTGAGGAAAGATGAAGATACGCCGATAGCAATTAAAGTAAACTGTATACTCAAGATTAATCAAGCCATTCAGAGCGGTACTGGGAATAAATATATTCCACTATGCACCAACAATTTACCCATATAAATTAACATCATTTTTGTACTCATTGCGTCGAGTAAGGAAGATAAATATACGAAGAAGGTCGCGTTTCGATTTAATTTGAGTCTCTTACTACTTCCTGAAAATGTTTCTGGGTCTACCCATCATCAGAAGGAGTTTGTAAGAAGACCCAAACCAAATCAAAACGCACCGATTACTCTGGCAATTACATGAAAGTAACTGCCAGAGTATGCAACTAAAGACGTCTAGTGAGGAAAGATGAAGATACGCCGATAGCAATTAAAGTAAACTGTATACTCAAGATTAATCAAGCCATTCAGAGCGGTACTGTGAATAAATATATTCCACTATGCACCAACAATTTACCCATATAAATTAACATCATTTTTGTACTCATTGCGTCGAGTAAGGACGATAAATATACGAAGAAGGTTGCGTTTCGGTTTAATTTAAGTCTCTTACCACTCCCTGACACGTGTTTCTGGGTCTACCCGTCATAAGAAGGAGTTTGTAAGAAGACTCAAACCAAATCAAAACGCTCCGATTACTCTTTCAATTACATGAAAATAACTGCCAGAGTATGCAACTAGAGACCTCTAGTGAAGAAAAATAAAGATGAAGATACGTCGATAGAAATTAAAGTAAACTGTATACCCAAGCTTAATCAAGCCATTCACAGCGGTACTGGGAATAAATATATTCCACTGTGCACCAACAATTTACCCATATAAATTACCATCATTTTTGTACTCATTGCGTCGAGTAAGGACAATAAATATACGAAGAAGATTAATACTACTATATATAATATATATACATATATATATATATATATATATATATATATATATATACAAAAGGAACATTTTTATTCTCGAGAGAGGAAGAGAGAGAAAATATATTTTCTGTCTCTCTCTAACTCATTATCTTACATATGTAATGGTTTCACAGATTCACTCTCATGCAAATTTCCAACACCGACCGTACGTATAGAAATATAACTTCAAAAATAAAAGATGGCCTAATACACTACCTCGAGGAATCCCTGTATTACTATCTATTTCAAATGACAATTGGTCTTTAAATCGAACTTTCTGTTTGCGATCTTGTAAATAATTTTCTAATCACGCAATTACTGTACCTCCTATAACATACTGTTTAAGTTTAGAAATCATTATTGCCCTGTCAATGGTTTCAAAAGCTTTTTTTAAATCAAGAAACACACCGACTACGTACTTATTTGTATCTAAATTATCTTTATGTGACATATTGTAACTTATAACGCTGATTCACAAGAGAATTGTCTGATTGATTATTAATTAAAATTTTATTTTTTGTTACATGTTCTAATAATTGGTTAATTCAAGGTAAAGTATTGATTCGTCGGAATTCTTCAGCTTTGATAGTGTTGGGTATTTTTTGAATAGGGGTGATATTATTTATTTTTAATACATCAGAAATTCTACTCGTAGTAAGAGATGTGTTAATTAAATTTAACATATCGTGCCCAATGGTTTCAAAAACTTCCTTTACCATTCTGCAATTTGACGTTTCGTGTAGTAAGAATTTATTATCTAAATTGCTAACAATTTTTCACAAATCCTGCGTAGAACGCTTTTCAAAATTTAAATAAAGATTACTATTTACATTGCACCATGTTTCAGAATGATCAATACTTTGAACAATACTTTCAATGCTTTCAACAAAATACCTATTAAAACTGCAAGATATATCTACGATGTTTGTTAACCGTTTTAGGCCAGTAGTAGTTTCAAAGATTACAGTGTTTGGCATTTCTCAACCATTATTATTGATTAATTTTTTATAGCTTTCCACATTTGTTTTGGATTGTTTCTATACCTGTCTATTTTGTTAAAATAGCACCGCTCTTGTTTTAGCTTTAACATATTTACTACCTCATTTCTATGTCTCTTAAAAACCTGCCGTTTATGTTGTTTATCAATGACGTCAATACATTTTTAAAAATCTTTATAAGCCCTATCACGTTGTTTATTTGTTTAAACACCTCATAATCAAACCAAGGTAATTTTGATTGAAACTGGCATATAAGAATTGGTATTATGCCGTTGATTACATTTTTACAATTTTGTAAAATTTTCTGGTAAATGATATTAACATCAACAGAATCTAAATTAAAGTGACGCATGATAAGATTAGTTTTAATTTTATTTAAGTTTTGATTATATAAATTTCTAAACTTGGATATATTACAATCAGATATAATATAACTATTATTATTGGAGATATTTACTAAAATAATGAAATGATCAGTAATTTTTGGATAATCGTGAACACAAGAACTTATATTATTTTGATTAGAAAGTACATAATCTACCAACGTTTTACTAGTGTCAGAAATACGGCTAGGATCACTAATATATTATTTAATCCCATATGCCGAAAACAATTTTTAAATTTTTTCACCACAGAAATTACTAGGAAACAAATCAATATTAAAATCACCAACTAACACACAACGGTAGTTTGTAGTAAATGAGGCATCACATATTTCTTCCAAATCTTCAATAGATTGAGTATCAGAACTAGATGGTGAATGGTATAAACACCATTGGAGCAAGTAATAACTAGTAAAGGGCTCCAGTATTCTGGAATGAGTATCATAAATAAATGGAAAATGTAGAAATGCCAATTTGCTAAATTGTTATATGATCGGTTCATACCAAATTGCATCCTAGAAACCAACTTATTTTTTAATATTGTTTTTACTTCTACATGTTTTTTTATGATTTTAAAATTAATAATAATCTAAATATCGTAAAAAATCCGAGAAAACGCTTCTTTTTTAATGTGTTTTTTTGTTTTTATTACGTTATAATTGAATTTTTATGATACAGGAAGTCGATATGGATCTTCTCCAAGCTATTTTTGTGACGTGCATCTATAACTCAGCAGGAGCCGCTTTAGTAGATAGTTGTCGGAAGGATTTTGATGATTACATGAAATCTCAAATTTCATTTTTGATAACAGATGACAACCCTGAACAAATGTGTGATCTGAGGTAAGTTTATATAATTGTATATTAACGTAATTTTATTAAAACTTAAAATTTTATAGTATTTTTTCTTCTTCTGTCTATATAAAGTTGTCTAAAAATCGTTGGAATATAATGATAACTTTTAGATGATAAATACTGTTTAATGAAGATATTGGAGGATATCAAAGAAAGAAGAGATTTAGTTTATGCTATAAATTTTACGTAAAATTTTACTACAGACTTAAATGGAAGAAGAAAAAAATAGAGAGGAAGAAATTATTTTCGGCTATTTTGTGAAACCTGAATATTTACAGGATGAAATAATATCGGATGAACTATTAGCTCTGGTGGACAGTTTTAAAGTAACAGTAATGTAAAACATGGATGCAATACGATATATTGCTGGATGCATATCTTTTAAATTTCAATATAAAAGCACCCTCTAGGTGCACCCTGAAATAATTCGAATATTGCAGAAGCTTTTCGGTTGCTGGAGATCTTGTCTTCAGATTCGTTTCTTAACATTATTCAAGAGTTATGGGAAGTGCCCTTAAAAAATAGAAGCTGAATTTCACCAAATGCATATTATCTTATTGAATAAAAACAATTTTCACCGTTTGGCTGAGAGTACTTCATCGTCGCTGCCTAAGTACCATTTAGGTAATTGTATGCATGTGTAGATCAAAAACATATTAAGAATAAGGAATATTAATAGAAACAAGTAATTGTAGAAATAAGTATACTTTCCTCTTTATTAAGTATACTGAAAAAAGAATATTGTAGTTAACTTCTAAAGGCCCGTTTTCACGCTAAGTCTTATTGTACGTTTTGTAGGTAATAAAAAACGTATGACAAAACGTACGTTTTGTCCAGTATATACACACTACGTATTTCGATTCGACAAGACGTACGTTTTGCTGTTTACACGCCACGTTTTATTGTATAGGATTTGTCCTATCCAACAAAACGTACAATAAGACGTAGCGTGAAAACGGGCCTTAACGAAACAGGTCGAGTATTAATAAACCTCTTTAAATGAAAACACAGGCGGATATACAAAATATTAACTTTTATTTGAAGGATTGAGCTTTTTATTGCTTTTTATTTTTTCAACTCTGATTTCAATTGTTTTTTTTTTATTTGACAACTTGACTCTGGCATATTGTTGCGAGACTTAGTACCTAACCATGTTACATCAGTAAACTCTACGAAGCTTTAGATAAAACTCCGCAACTCTCTTTTGAAGTGTTTAGGGATTTCTCCTTGACAAATAATACGTCTGGTATGCTCATAATTAGATGCTATTGACTACAATTTAGTTATCTCAAATCTATTGAGTGTTTAATGTATTTCTTCTGTTTGTGTAAATTTTCTGGATCATTCGGTCTCTTGCGTGGAAGTGATTTTTATTTACTTTGGCGCTATAGTATTCCCAAAATGCATGTATATTTATTCAAATTCAACTAAAACGATAAAGATATATTATGGTTTATCTCTATTCTTTAATCTTGATAGCTTTAAACTGCAGTTTTTCGATTTTTAAACAAAGTCCTTCAGTTTATACAATAACTAAGCGTAAGTAATACTTCATTTTCAAAATCCGTTTTGTCTTAGATCCGTCACTGATATTTTAAAATGCTACCTCATCAATCCTGCAAAACACCCGTCACAAATACCGGAATGGACGCATTGGATCTGAGAGCCCCAAACAAATTATGTATCATTTTTCGGAATTAGTATTTAGTTCCAATATTGAAATAATATAATTTACTTAAAACTACCAAAATACTGACTGACTAATACTGACGACTGACTAATATTGCTGCTTATAGTTAAAGTGAACTTATTTCGGCATTTTCAGCTACTTTAACCATAATTTCATCTTGATTATTTGTGATTTGTTTCACTTGATCACCTTGATTTTTACTACAAAACGACCCGGTTTCATCTAAATGATGAAAGTCTAATTTTTTAGAATTTTTAAAGTAGAGACCAAGAATTACTAGAACTAAACAATGAAATAAATTAATTTTAATTTTTTTTTGGTTGGTTGCTTTCTGTGTGGATGGCAATCTATAATATAAGGCTGCTAAGAGACCGCAAAAGTACTTTTACGCACGTCCACAAAACCTATTCTTCAATGTCTTTATTTTTAAAATGATTGCAACGTGATATTTCAATCGAAAGAGTAATGATGCTGCTTAACAATGCAGCAATATTCTAAATACTCACAACAAAAATAAGTATCTTACAAGAAATAACATTAGCTAACAACAATTCAGTGTAGCCTCGAAAAAAGGGTCCGCATGCTAAATGGTGCTTTTGAGAAAAACACGATTAAAAATTTAACAAGTATTTTGAAAACAAAGATTAAAACTTTGAACTTTATTAAAAGCTAAAATAAATTTATTGTATTTAAACTAAAGTTACAATAAGATGTTTCAAAGATATAGACACACTTTTATGTAAATATAATTTTTTACATTAGCTTATCATGGGCCCTTTTTCCACAGATCATTTGCGAAAGTATGAATTAAGTTTACGATAATCTTTATTTGGCAAATGACGTAAAAAATAAAGAATAAAACAAGTTATTATTATACAAAAAAAGTTATACAGAAACTTTGTTCATCTTCTTGGGACACAAAACGAAAATAGATCTATCACGTCTTTTTCCTTCGCCGGTTTTATTCCAACCACTGGGACAATTTGAAGAGCAATGTTTATGTTTATGTTTCTTCCTCTCCAAATTGTGAATGGTATGTAATTTTTCAAAAATGTTTGAGAACAAACCAATGTTCCTTCTTTTTTGTATTTAATTTGTACATACTGTTGAATGCTGAAAACAAGTCCCTTTGTTTTTGGCTTATTTAGAAAGAGTCCTTCCAAACTTTCAGTCCAATTTTTGATTAGTATTCTGTCCATGACAACATTAAAAGGAGATGGATTTTTCGGACAATACACTATTGCTTCCAAATATGTCTTTACCGTCCCTATGTATTCCTTCTTTTTAAATATGACTTTACCAGCCAAAAATTGTGATTGCACTGGTTAAAGGAATGGCCACTAACCGGAAATATATGTAGAATATTGACGTTAAACTTGTGTGTTATTTGCATTTCAAATTTTACCATTGAAATGTTCTTATTTTGTCCCTCGCACGCAACGGACAAAAATACGATTTCAGTGACATAGCCATAATTTTTTTTTTTCACAAGCAGTCATAGACGAATGAAATAATAAAATCGGCGCCTTTTTTTCCTTGTCCTTCCATAAATGTATACATAAAAGACGACCCATTATTGTGAATATGTATATTAAAGATAACACCAAAGTAGACGTTTATAAATTGCACTGTTCCATTGAGTTTCGGAACTGGTAGATTTTGTCCATAGTCAAATTCAATAACATGGCAAATACTGTCAGTTTTACTTCTTTCTATCAGATTCCTTCTCATTGCTATATGTCGCTTTACTTTCACATTGTCAAGGCGGTAGGAAATTGCACAGGCATCGTTAGGATTAATAGATAGTTTTTGTTTACATTCTCTGCAGAAATCACATATGTCTGTTTTGGAATTGTTGAAACTATATGAACGCAGTGACTTAAAATACTGAAAGTATGTCTTGTATTTTATCTTTAGATTTGTGCATGCATTTTTATACTATTGTACAAAAAGCTTATACAGCTTTTTATTATTTAATTCGGGATTCTCAAAATATTTTAGTTCGGATTTGTGTTGGGAATAATGACTTTTCTTAAACGGGATAGTTTCCAAATGATCTTTAAGCAAGTCATGAATGTAAAGAGCCAATTTGTGGGGTCTGTTGGCACGTGTCCCTCGCTTTTCTGTAAATGAATCCCCCTTAATTACCTTCTTTTGTACTACACGAATGTGCTTTACAGATACTTGAAAAAGTTTTTGGATCATGGTCCGACATGTTTTTATTCTGTCGCCCTTTTGAGACACGAAATATTCCTATGCATACGCTCGTAAAACTTTTGGATTATTCTTAAGTTGTTTACGGTCCACATTAAGTTTTTTATACACTGAGCCAACAAAAAGTCCTGTTGAGGCTTTGCTTGTAAATAAAAAGTGTTGAAATAAATGATTTTGATCATCGACACTTAAACGGGCAAAACGTTTGTACAGGCAACATTTTATGATTAACTAAAATGACAGCTGCAACATTGCAACCTGCCGAGGTGAGGTATATTTTACCTGATTGCCTTAAACCTTTTTTTTTCTCGCGTCACATTATTCTTCTTACATCTTGTCAGTTTTTGTCTAACTACCTCTTCGTCAGAATCCATTTTTAAAGCTTAATAAACACACTTACGTTAACGACAAGCAAACGAACAACGGACGTGAACACAACGTTGTTAAAATGGTAATTAAATGTTCTGTTTATCGAATGACAAAGGTTTGAAGCATTGTTGCCAAACTTGGCCGAAATGAACTTTACATCATGGCGGATCGATTTAAACGATCTGAGGAAAAACGGCCCATAGGTGTATGAGCCCTATTTCCGGGGATGATCTCAATTATTATCTGATAGTTCAAAGCATACTTCTTATACATAAAGTAATACTTTAAATTCCCTTCTCAAACTCTAAATTATTTAAATGTGTTTTTTTGCGAAACCGGTTTTAATTTAAAATCACTAAAAAGTAGCTTCAAAAGTTTCGAAGTTTTATCATTAGCTATCATATCCATGATGCCTCGTGTAAGATTATAAATATATAAGTTATAAATATAGTCCCTGTCCAAAGTTCGATTTCTGTACCTATTAGGAAGTTTAGTATTAAAATGCTCGTCCTGTCGAATCCTTATAAATATGCTATATTCCCCCCCCTTTCTTTCCTCATTTTGGGAGTATTTTTGATTTAGCAACCATTCAGTCGATTTTCATGCACCCTTCCTGTTGCTTTAACATCCAAGTCATAAGTTAATACAAGTCATAAATAAATACTATGATTCGTTGAGTTTATAACACATTGTAGCATCTGCATTGCTCCCGTATAAAGATCGTAATTATAGCAGTAGCCTGTTGCTCCGCGTAATTACCATAATTTAAGTTCGAAGCGAATGAATTTATCTTAAATAGAATCTTTTAATAAATGTTTAACATAATAGTCAAATTTTTTAAAGAATTGATTTACAATTTAAAGCAAATGTCTGACTTTAAAGGCGTTTATGTGCTTATTTTATTTTTGTCATTATCAACAAAATGTAAATTGTAATTTTGTCTTCTGATAGCGATTTTACAAAAAGATATTAACTCTTCCTAAAAAAAAACCACTTTTAGTTGCAGAGTGAGAAATAGTCTCTTTTACTATAAACGTATTTATTTCGTCAAAACAAATTGTTTCAAATAATTGCACTGGCAATAAATGCCTATATAGAGTCCTTGTGCCCGATAGCTCTCCTTTATATATTTTTTCAAAGATTGGTAACTTTGTGTAATGAGGTTAACGATGGGTTTACATATCTTCTTCACTACATAGTAGGAGTTTTTTTATTTAACTTGCAGCATAAATGAAACATCTTTCACTCATAAACTTTAACTCATAAAATATCATTATCTGCCTTTTTTCATTCCTCTGTTGTTAACCGGTTCTTCTTAAGGTGCCTTCTCCATTACTGAAGGTTGGCCATAACTGCAGCAAATTGCTCTCTATCTTGAGCTGTTCTTAGTATCGAATGTGTGTCCATGCCTGTCCAGTCTCTTAAATTCTTCAAGCATCAACCAGGAGCATTTTCTTCTTCCTGGACCTCTTCTACCTTCCACTTTCCCTTCCAATATAAGTCGTAGGAAGTTGTATTTTTCTCCTCTGTAAATATGTCCTAGATAACTCGTTTTACTGTTTTTTACAATATTTAGGTGTTGTCTCTCAGTACCCATTCTTCTTGGCACCTTGTTGTTGATCACGTGCTCTGTACAAGAAATCTTCAGCATCCTTCGAAAAACCCACATCTCAAAGGCTTCTATACGCCTCATACTTGAAATTCCGAGAGTCCATGTTTCCACTCCGTATAGCAATATGGAATAAATAAACGTTTTTACAAATTGGTATTGGATATCAAACGATAACGTAGAGTTTATTAGGAATTTTTCCATTCGTTGAAATGCGGAACTAGCATATTTTATACGAACACGTATTTCGACCTCATGGTCAAGATCGTTTGTTATCCAGCAACCAAGATACGGGAATCTTTGTTACTGGTTCTATATGTTTGTTATAGATACGAATATTAATGACGACATTTAGTGCACCTGTAACAGCCATTACTTTAGTTTTATTTGCGTTTATATTTAGTCCTAAGCTATCTCCCTCTCTGGTTATGACATTCAAAAGTCGTTGTAATCCCTCAGTACTGTCCGCAATAATGACGGTGTCGTCTGCGTATCTTAAGTTGTTTACGTATTCTCCGTTGATTTTTATTCCTTCTTCAATATTTTCGAGGGCATTTTGAAAAAATTTTTCGGAATATATATTGAATAAAAGTGAAGAAAGTACACAGCCCTGACGAACTCCCCTTTTTCTTGAAAATTCTGCTGACAGACGATTGTCTATTTTGATCGACGCCATTTGATAACAAAATAGTTTTTTAATGAGTGATACAATGTTATGGTCTATATCATGTTTTGTTAGGGTTTCTATGAGTTCTGTGTGTTTTATTCGATCAAACGCTTTTTCGTAGTCGATGAAATAGAGAAACACGTCTTTTTGATTGTCGCTAGGGTTTCTTTCGCATTCTCTGTATATTCGTTGATGTACACTTCCCGTCATATAAAACTGGTACACTTTTTTTCCCAATGTAAACCTGTGTTCAGAAATCAATTTGTTGTTGCCGTTACAGATAACGGAATTGCACCAAATCTAAATAAAAAAATAACGTCCAAAAATGTATAAAATTTTTAGATAGGTATTATTCATATCATTAACAACAAAAAATCGTATCTAAGAAATTAAATAAGCAGAGATAGGATTGAGTTATTATCCAAAATGTTTGAAGGATCTTTAAACCTAGGATATTGACGCAGGGAACATTGGAATGCATCTACTGTAATTTTATACTTTAATTACCTACCGAACTCGAACTGTAGTCTGCGTCAATAAGTTTTGTAACAATCAAACTACCAAGATTAATTTATTATTTATTACAAGAACGATAAAAAATGTGAAAAACTAACATTATACTTTATCCTACGTATTATAAACTATAAAATATTCGGGGCGAAAAAACGCTTTTAACGTAACAGTTACAATCCAATTATTCACTATTTGAAGTTTGTCGAGATTGATTATCTGTCATTATTTTTGAATTGAAATATTTTCATAAATTGTCATAAAACACAAATCAATGTATGGGTACTTAATTGCGATGATGGAAAATTATAAAATTAATATGAGAATTTTTAAGAATGCATGTTTAAACAAATTTAATGTGACTGAGTGATCAAGAATGCTCGATAATGTTTTAGTTTTTAGTATACTCTAAACTTGCGGTCTGTTACACAGTCATCGAGCAAAAAGACAATAGAGGGAATGTAAAGGTAGTGGGGGCAAATATATTGTTAGACAGGAAGTGCGATCTTTAGAGGCCACATTAAACAAGGAAAGAGAGTCTCTCTCCTTGTTTGACATCAAATTTAGTTGGGTTATGTTATTGTTTGTCCCAAATATCACATGAAATCTTATTTATATTGAAGTTTTTTAACAATTGTGTCGCATTTTAGACTCTTATCATTAATAATTAATTAAAACTTTCTCGTCTAAGACACATTCTGAAAAATATTATATAGCTACTGTTGATAAGTGTCGGAAAATTTAAATTTCGCGCATTCGCATTTCCGGATATGTACGCCATCAGAGGCCACTTTTTTGGTCTCCTTTTCATAAGGATTAGATTCCCTCTTTTGCCTTATTGCTCGATGCACACAGTCCTGCTTTTAGCTGGTTTGATATAATATTTTCGTTGAACTGGCAACTGTGCGCTAGAAATTAGAATGACACATATGACAAGATCAACGTACACAACTTAAAAAACACGATTTTTGATTATAAGAGTTGTACCAGTTTTTTATGACGGGAACGGTACAATTTTGCGTAAAAATTGCTCATCAGGCTAATTAATCTGAACTGTGAGCATCTGTTTGCTTTATTTTTCTTTGGTATAGGTATAAATGTCGATCTAAACCAATCTTCTGGGAAGATTCCAGTGGTATATATTTTATTAAATAATAGTGTTAACGTCTGAAGATTGTCTTCATTGATAAGCTTTATCATCTCTGTGTATATTTCATCTGGATCTAAGGCTTTTCGTGGCTTTACCGTATTGATTGTTTTTGTAACTTCCTATGTTAATAGATCAAGTATTGGTTCTTGTACTATATTCATTTGTGGTTCTATTCTCTCGTCATCAAACAGATCTTTGATGTATTTTTTCTACATATCTCCTACATTTTCTGGACTAGATACTATTTGGTTACTAAAATTGTTGTGATTTTTTTCTTCATATTTGTGACTTCCTTAATCTTTTTGTATGCATTAAAGTAGTAATGTTTTTTTTTACTAAAACTCCCAGTTTGTCACAGTTACTGCGCATCCATTCTTCTTTGTCTTTCCTGATTTTGTTTCGGATGATTCTCTGGGTTTCTATATTTTTTTCTTCATAGCGATTTTTGTAAGATCTCCTTATGTATATCAGTTCTAGGACTTCTTCTGTCATCCATGTATTCTTTGTTTTCTGATGTTGTCTTGTAGTTGTTTTCTTTGTGTAGTTGTGATTGTTGTTTTGCAGGTGTGTCAAATACTTTCTATTGTTTCTTCCGCGGTTGCTTCACTATACTTTTCTTTAAGTGTATTATTGATTGTTTTCTTTTTCGAGGCTAGGTTTAATCTTTTCTCTGTATTTGATTTTCTTTAGTTTAATTGAAATTTTACCAACAACAGGATTGTGGTTGGAACCAATGTCCACTCCGGGATATTTAATAATTCCCCTGATTAAATTTCTATAGCGTTTGTGAATTAATATATAATCAATCTGGTTTCTTATTATGCGGTTTTGATTATCGCCAGGTGCTTTCCATGTATACAATCTTCTTTTTGGCTGTCTTAACTAGGTCTTTGCGACCATTTGTGTTAAAAACATCTCAATTTTCATCCACTTGTTCCCAAAATTATTCATTATTTCCTTATGTCTTAACTAGGTCTTTGCGACCATTTGTGTTAAAAACATCTCAATTTTCATCCACTTGTTCCCAAAATTATTCATTATTTCCTCTAGTTCGGGAACTGTTAATTCTCGGTTCTTAGTGAAAGACATTGTGCTAAAAAATAATAATTTTATTTCTTCAAGAAAACTTGACAAACTAATCGTGTTACTCTTATACACCTGACAAAAGAACTTCATTAAGTATTCTAAGATAATTTAAACATATGTTGATATTTTATTGATGAAATATACATTGAAAAATTGTATAAAATCTCATTTTTTATTATTTATTTTAAGGCATACTCCGACGGCTTTTCCCACTTACTACGACTACTTTTTGGATATAAAACAGCGTTGCTGGGTCGCTTGGGAATGGCTTGTGCCCCCATATATGCATGATCGATCGAAGAGGTTCTCTGAAATATTAGTGCCCACTATTGATACGGTTCGAACAACTTATATTTTGGGCTTAATGAATAAGATCAGAAAACCTATTGTACTCATTGGAGAAACCGGAACATCTAAAACTGCGATTATACAGGATTTTTTAAGGTAAATAATCATTCTTATAAAAGGTACTATTTGGGGTTATTTACGTCCCAACTTAACAAGCATATTACTTACAGGTACTTCGAAAAGATGTCAATCAACTTAAGTATAACTATTTTAAATTTTGCCTGAATATTAAATTAACCTAAAGATATATTTTTTATATTTGACACATCTTTCAGAAGCAATTCATCTAGAATTTTTTTCGCGGTATATTATGCCCATAAAACATAGCTAACTTTTCTTATTAAAAATATGAATTCGTTTACGATAAGACATTTTTCCCTTTATCGAAACTATTAGACAGTGTCAGATTGAAGATAGACTCGTAGAGACAAAGTCAGAAGAACAAACTTCCTATTTAGCAGAATTGTACCGCTACGTAGCGCCATCTGCTTTAAATAACCAAAAGTAGATGTTACTCTACGCTGTGTCTCTGAACTACGTTTACATATTGTTAACGGTTGCTACGTTCTTCAGATACACTCGATAGTGTCTATTTTTTGTCATCCAAAGGGGGTAACTCTAAGTAGCAATATCAATATGTTACTATTGTCCTGAAACTATTTTCTTATGGATGTTTTCACTGACTAAATCACAATTGTCCTGTTAATCAAAAACGATTTGATTGAGACTTAAACAATTAAAAAAGAAATGGTAGATATGTACACGAGATTATAATAAAAATGGTACCTAAAAAATTTTAATAAATAATTTTTCAATGGGTACGATTCTAAAAAAATTAAAAAAAAAAACAAAAAACTGAAATATTTGTTTGTTCTTTTATAACCTAAAAAGAGCATATGCAGAGTTGATTTATTTATTCCTTATTACATGGTTATTTTTCATAATTTTTGTCTTTGAAAAAATATGAATATATAAATAGAATACAAGGTTTATTAAATCAAAATGAATGTTAGGGCGCCCCTGTTCTACGCTTATTATAAGATTTGCTAATTTTAAAGTACCATGTGAAACCTAACTTAAAGTTTACATCGATGAAACAATGTTTTAATTATGTCTGCAAGGCAAATATTGTGTGAAGTTCGGTATACCTGGGAACAGAAAATCAGATAGTTTTTTTGCATTTCCGTCTGTTTTAAAATGAGAAGTATTTTTCATATCTGGCGGGAGAAATGACTTCTGTATACAATCATCATGCTTTTTGTTTTAAGCCACACGTTCGCTGTACAATAGAAATAGAAATTAAGAATTATTTTTCATATTTGGCAGAAAACCACTTCTTAATTTATACAATCAGCATGAATTGTGACCAAAAATGACACTCCAGTCAACCGGAAATGACCACTGTCCATTCAAAATTAGTGTTACGTAAAAATTAGTCATATTAAAAAAAACCTGTAAACATGTTGTTTATCCACTAATTACGATCTAGATTTTATTAGCTGGAAAAAATCTTCCTGAAACGGTCGCTCCCCTACGATTCGAAGTTTCCAGAAACCGGTTGAATGATGACCCGGCCGATTTACTTTCTACTATATTCATAAGGAACCGCCTGAACTCTTGAATAGCTGTATTTTCATATAAATAACGGGGATTTTCATTGAGGAAGTCAGTAAGAAGATAAACTCGCAAACGGGAATTTTAAAATGTACGCACGTATAGATAAATTGTATAATATTGGTAGTCAAATAAATTGTTGTACAGTGATTTAATAAATTGATAATAAACTATCATATTTTAGTAAATTAAAATAAGAACAATAAATTAGAATTAATAAAGACTTAATAGTGGTGTCAGAAGAAAAGTGACATAGTGGAAATTCTGAAAATGGCTACGATTTACGAGCTTACGAGCTTTACGATTTACGGATATAAGAAGACGTCTTGAGAACAGAGAATTAGCTTCTACCGGAAGAAAGGCTGATTTAGTCCAACGACTAAAGAACGCTTTACAAGAAGAGGTTTTGGATCCAGAAACTTATATATTTGAAGATAAACATGTTGCTGTCATCTCGTCGATTTCGAAAGTTTCTTCTGATGTAGCCAAAGTTTCTGGTAATATCGCATCATTAAAGAACAAAGTTTCTGACAATATTTCGAAAGTTAATTTTGATGTAGCCAACGTTTCTGATGACATCGCATCGTTAGAGAACAAAATTTCCGGCGACATCGCTTCTTTAGAAGACAAAGTTTCTAACGAGATTTCTTCTCTAGAAAGCAAGTTTCTGCTAAGATCTCCTTGGACGGAACTTATAACGACGACCACCAATGCAACGAACTAAGGAAAGTGGAACTAATGAACCTGGAAATGTTCAAAAATTAATAGACGAACGAACTTAATTAAAGCCACATATAACCACTACCTTGTGGCTATCTGTATGTACTCGTACCACACTCCACTAGATGCTGACGGGTGGCTCTGTAGTCACCAAGGGCCCACAGGTAATACAGAATACCTTCGAAGGGTTCTTACTTGACAATGAATTTTCTCTTACATGTATTCATTATTGGTATTCTGATCACGGTGTATGCTTTGGATCTAGCGGAGATGTCGGCCCTTCACGCTTCGACGTGTGGTCAAGTACATACTTCACGCGGTGTATAGAAACACCAGCGGAGTGGTGACTATACGTTGGTGCTATAATTCGTATGCTACCTTCCGCGGAAACAACCTTATTATGTTCTGTGAAGACGTTGATTGTTTCCGTTGAAAGGTTTCTAGCGACAAAGCGCTACATTAGCTTAGTAAAGTGAATATAAGTTTATTATTAAACTTTTACTTACCTTAACGAAAAAATGACGTTGGGACTCTTCTTCAAACGAGGTCTTCTCACAAGGGTTTCACTCTTAGGTAATAATAATAAACGTTGAATTTTCAAGAGGCACTCGGTCAACAAGGTCTCGCATCGGAAGAGGCTCTGCTTTTTTATACACTTCATGTTTGCAATTCAGCAACGATCTTTTGTCGGAAGACCAATAACAAAACAGTTATTAAAACTGAATAACAAAACAGTTATTAAAACTATTTGTTATTGGTCGGCCAGAGTGGCAATCTGCGTCCTGAGTGGTCACTTCTGGTGACTGGATCCATGTCGAACTAAGATTGTGCAGATGGAGCTCTAAATTAAGAAGGATTTGGAACAAATTAAACAGAACAGAATAACGCATAACTAAATAAACACTCACGGATCAACTGAAAGCTTGACATGGGAAATGCAGAGATGTCATTAACTGTAGATTTGTTGATTGAACAAAACACACACACACATACACACACATATTAAACAAATACAAAACACACAATAATATTGACGCGGTATAGACACATCGTCGTTACTGACAGTATTTCGTCCCAACTCGTGGGAATAAAATGGACTAGAAGACAAAAAAATATGCCCCAGAAAAAGACTCAGAAATAAATGACTCATTCTAAATCTGTAAATAAAAAGATAAAAGAAACGAAGAGAGAGAGAGCTGGCGTCGGTTGTGGATTTTGTTTCAGTCCCGAATAGGTATTAATGGTCTGAGGCAAACCTTCAGTCAATTAAGGGAACTTCAAGAACGCTCGATTTTGTTTTGATACAATAACTCTGTGTATACCAGTACCAAATAAAAGTTATTTTTGATATTTTCAGAGAGCTTATAATATAGTAGATTTGACAAAATTTCGAAAACTTGTATAATAATTAAAAAGACCAATTATCCCTGGCCCGCTCCCATAAGACTACATGTTTTTTGTCTTTTACTTAGGAATACACGTTTTATAAACCGCTTCACCTGGTGCTACCAAATTTGCAATAATTTCTTGAATGGCAAAAAAATGACACAATATTAACCGCTCAATACCGTTAATTATTTTTTTTTTATTAAAGATTTTTTTCACGTTTTTACAAACATATTTATTTGTAATTTAAAATCAACATATTTTTTTATTCTTATTCTGGTTTAGAATGTTGTTTATTCATTCTCGTGTTCTTCTTTATCTCTTTTGTAAACGTAAGTTTTTTTATTACATATTTGTTTTAGTAGTTGCTGTTTTTTGAAGTCATTAATTCTCATTATATCGATATAATAGTTCATGCACAATATTATGCAAAGAGCAAATATTTAGTTTATGCAACACTTTTATTTATTTTTTGCTAATTTCTTTTTCTATTTATTAAGTGTAATATACCATTCAACTTAGAAAACTAAGTAGAAAAAGAAACAAAAATAAAAATACCAAAAAAAATTTTTTAGGGGTTCCTGCTCCCATTAATGGAAGATAATACTACAAGCCAAATTGGTGCATTAGACTTTTGTAAAACAAATAGATTGCAAAAAAAACCAATGATAGATTAATGACGTATTAATCAGTATTTTTTCAGTCTTACTTGTGTGTTTTTTTATAATTTATTTTCTACAAACTTTTAATAATTGATTACCTCCTACAAAACGATATGTATCCAAACATTTCTGCTATTAATTTAGTACTGTAGGTATATTTTGAGTAAAACATGTGTATTATTTTAGAAACCTCGACCAAGATATTTTTATTCTGCTCAATATTAATTTTTCATCAAGAACTTCGTCTATGGATGTCCAGTTGAATCTGGAATCGTCAGTTGAAAAAAGGACCAAAGAAATTTATGGACCACCGATGGGTAAAAAGCTTATTTGCTTTATAGACGATATGAATATGCCCCAAGTTGATGACTACGGTACACAACAGCCAATAGCGTTGCTCAAGTTATTATTCGAGAAGGGAGGATTCTATGACAGAGGTTTGGCTTTTCATTTATATTTTGATATTTCTTATATGTATGTTAGCTTTTATTGCATAATTTGTCCAGGCTCCTACGACGAGTTTTCAAAAATATGTTGGTAAGTTTAAAAAAGCCAATTGATCTTAAGTTCATCTCATTAACCACTGAGACACAGTACTCCTATAGCCAGAGCTTGACGTAAGATGATGTATAATACAAAATATCCAGCTAGCATACGTTACAAGTAAATGTATTTTTTTGAGGCCAGGAGTGAAGCCTTCCAGTTTAATAATTTTCACCCATTTAACTTTTAACGTCGAATTTGATTAAGTTATTTTGTATTTATGGTGATTTTTTATTGCAGTTATTTTCCTTTATCTTAGTTAGAATTAGATTATGTCGCTGTAATTGTTTGCAAATTTCATCTTGTTTTCTCTCTTTTATTGCTGTGCACATATGATTTCCTTTCTTTATGACAGTTGTAAATTTTTCAAATATTAGCTTTTATTATTTGGATAAACTTCTCCAGAATCCCAAGAGACAAAGCAGTTGGTAAGAAAAACAAAATATGAACACTGGGAACAGTTAAAAAAATGATGGAAAGCGACTTCTACCTTGCACAAAAATAAATATGAAGATTTATCAAAATCCAACAGAGAGAAATGGCAGAATGAAAGCAATACAATAAGATGGTCATCTTCTGCATTATCAATTGTGCTACAACTCCAGTTGAGCCTCGACATTTCCTCAATCCATTTCATCTATACCATCCCTCCATCTTATTCTTGGTCTACCTCTGCTTCTATTTCCTACTGGTGCCGCTAATAGGGTTCTTCTGTGTGGGTAATTTTCATTTGATATATTGTTGAATAATCATATACTGTTGTTGATTGCTTCCATATATTCCTATATCTCCTATTAAGTATTTACCCCCTGCATGGGATTGAATAACTCGAACTCACTGGATACTTATAATTATTTTATTGGTTCTCTAAGTACAATAATATAGAGAGTACCGAGTTGACGGATGACAACATTAGCTTCGACTGTTAACTCTTAATTTTGAATTCTTAATTAATAATGATCTGCTCCCGTTATTTTCCAGCTATTTAACTCACGTGCGTTTCTTTATATAATAATGTTTTTCTGATTTAATTTGTACACAATATTAAATAAACTTTTGATTACATTGCAAATTTCACTAGGTCGGCTTCTTGGTAAGCTTGTTCTACTTACACTGATATTTTCATGCCATAAACAAACAATCGCATTGAGCAATAAGCAATGGTTAATATTATTAAAAGGATATTAAATTTTCCAACTGAATTGGATTACTTAGATCTGCTTTCTGGATGCTTCATTTAATCCCGTTACAGCCCTATCCGTCAGAAAAAAATTTTCTGAGTGCTGTTTGTTTTCAATCAATTACATAAACTGTTTTTACTCTTCCCTTCCAAAAGAAGAAAATTTTTCGTGCCATCATCAACTGATTACTATACATACATTATTTACATTCACTATTTACATATATACATTTTTAGAATTATACACACATTTTTGGTACATATTTTCTTATATCTAGTAACAAAAAAATGTTCAATATCAATATAATTGTTTCCATTTTCACATATCACTAATTCACTGGGTTCATGGACTGTAAGAGTATAGTCTATTTTTATGCACCTCCTTGATCTTACCTTTATCTGTCTTCATTTTACAGTTAACGTTATTTACCTCTGTTATTATTAAAGGATCTGGATAAAGACTATTAAAATTTTTTCTTCTCTTTTAACCAGGACTAGGTCTTCTATTTCGAAGTATTGTGGTGTCTCTGTTGACCTATTTCTTTCATGTCGCTTCATTTTGTGTCTTAATAAGAAGGTTTTAGCTCTCTTGTGTGCGAGTTGTAGTTTATAGCGTAACTAATTGTAATAGGCATCTATGTTGTAACATGATTTAACGTTTCGTGTAAGGTCTTCAGATAAGTTTACTTTCCTGCCATACAGCAATTCGAACGGTGTATATCCATGATACGCGTTAAAGGTTGTGTTATAGCAGTATGTGAACATTCTGTAACACACGTCCCAATTTTCTCTGTCTTCATCTATGGATGATCTTACGTACTCGTTTAATGTTTTATGTCGTTTCTCGCAACTTCCAATCGATTGTGGGTGGTATGTTGGTGTTGTGCTCTATCTTTTGCATTTTTGTTATTTCGTGCATTACTTGTTTTTGTACTGTGTGCCTTGGTCTGTTCTGATTTGTTTCATGAGTCCGCATGTTGGTATAAAATGATCGAAAATTTCGCGAGCTATTGTCTCGCATTTTTTGTTGCACACTGGTATACTCACTGCGTATTTCGTTATTTCACACAGCATTGTAATACAGTATCTACTGATAGGGAATGTCCCATAATTTTGAAGAAGTATCTAATATCACGAATTCCTCGACATGTAGTCTTTTCGGTTTGTTAATTTGACATTTATGACATTGTTTAATGTATTTTCTTACGTATTTTTACAGGTTTCTGGATTTGAATCTTGCCTTCAGTTTTTTTATTAAATTAATATTTCCTACATAATCCCCAAATATCGAGCGGTTATAATATTCCTCCATTGCCCTACGTTTTTATTTGTCGTTATCCATTGTTTTGTTACTTCGCATATGTATATTTCTATTTTTCAATAATTTGTTTCCTTTTATAAATTCATTAATTGTGCACAATTTAAAATAATATTATTTACATATATGAAGACTGAATGCAGACTTTACGTTTGCATTCTCTACGGCCAGAAAATCAAGCTTTGCCAAAATTTGACTTAAATCAAAGTGATTGAATCCTGTAGCCAGGCTCTTTCTGCAATTGATTTGGTTTTTCATCCGAATTCTCAGTCTTGGTGAGATTCAGTTTACTCCAAAAGACAAAATTGATAGTATATGCGCCTATAAATTATTTATTACCCTTTTGACTGGTTGCTTGAGGATTTCCGGCTGTAATATAGGTTTAATTTCTGTATCCTTGTGTCTTGTTTCTTCCATTTTTCTTCTTGATTGAGCTCGGGTTATAGCTAGTATATGCATGTTATCTATGTGTAAGTCCTTTAGTTAATGCAATATTATTCTCGAAAGACGTAATTATTTTTCCCTGTTATACATTCTATTCTAAAATCGTATTCCTCTAGATCTAATCTGATCCTTGTTTTAAGTTTTAAAGTACGTTATTTATTGAAAATAGGTGTTTTAAAGGTTTATGATCCGTTTACACCAAAAATGTTGGTGCTCTGTATAAATAACTTTTGAAATGGTAATTCCCCAATAAATTGCTAGTAATTCCTTGATAATTATAGGTTTAATACATTCTCCTTTACTAAAACTTTTTGATGCGTATGCTATCGGTAGGTCTCTTCCGTTATAGTTTTGACTTAAAATTGCTGAACAACTCTCGTTGGATGCGTCTGTTGTCAAAATGAATTGTTTACTGAAATCCGGATATTTTAAAATTGGTGGTTTCATCAGAGATGATTTAAGCTTATTGAATGATTATTTACATTCCTTTGACCAAAAAAATTCTACTCCTTTTGTCTCTTTCTGTCTCATTTTCTGTCTTAGGTGTCGGATATTGTTGAATCGTTGCATATTTTGCTTTATCTGGCGATACTCCTTCCTGAGAAAGATCATGTCCTACATATGTGACTTCTCTTATAAAAAATTGACATTTTCCTGGGTTAATTTTTAGATTGAACTTTCGACATGTCTAAAATGTCTTTTTTAGGTTATCTAAATAATGCTTTTCTGATATTTCTATTACTACTATATACTAAGTGACATAGAAATCCGAACACCCAGTTGAAATGATTTTATTTTAATAAAATTTCGTGTAATTTATTTATCTAACTGAAAAAAAAACAAGTGAAAGTTTTTAGCCTTATCAGTCGGAGATTCCGGTTTTTATACTTTTTGTTTTTAAATTCACTAACAATCTTAAAAATGAATATTTTAGCCACAGTAAAGATCTAAATTTGGCGGATTGTGATTATTGACATTCTTTACGATTGGTTACGATGCCTAGAGTACAGAGACCTGTACGATTTCGTCAACTTAGTGAGTTTGATGGGGTTGTATAATGGGACTTCGGGTAGCTGGACTTTCTTTTCGGGAAGTTTTCTGGGTTAGGTTTTAGATTGAACTTTCGACATGTCTAAAATGTCATTTTTAGTTAATTACTATTTAACTGTGAATAAGCCACTATTAGAGATAAAAATACGTTTATTGACGTTTCAATTTCCACTTCGGAAATCGTTCTCTAAATACAAACAGTAAATTGAACAGATTTTGTTTTTTGTTACATAGTGAAAAATTCTTTTAATAATTTAATTTTATCTGACTCATTTATATTGACAATTTAGACATACATTATGCATTTTAAAGTAGACGACTTTAAAATGATATTGCCAATATTTACTTTACGTCTTTACTTATAACGACTTTACTTATAAGATGGTTCATTCGATTACATGAAATCCACATTAACTTGAAAATATCCGTCAGAAAAAAATCATAGCATGTAATTCGTCTTTAAAAAGACAAACACATGACATGGTGACAGTAAAATTCTCCTGTTAGTGATTTCATAGTAAATTATGAGGGAAAAACCAGGAAAAAAACCTCATAATACTATCCCGACATGGTTCTTTTTGGGAAGTTGCAGTTAGAGTGCGAAGAAGTGTAGACACCGTGGTTAGGTGTTGTCAGGCATGGCTTTAATAAGGCCGTACGCAAAGAGCAAGGAGCACTGGACGCTGCCGTAGAACAACAGACCGTGGAGATCGCCGCCTAAGATTATTGGCCTTAAGAGACCGTTTCTCCACTACCAGCTCCATTGAAACTGAATGGTTTGCAGAAAACGGAAGACCTATTGGCATGCGAAGTGTTTAACCGACGAATGAGAAGTTTTGGCCTGTTTTGATACCGACCACACTGGGTCCTCCCTTTAACTAGAGAACATCGCCATAATCGATTTCAGTGGTGCAGAGAACGGTTACTCTGGAATCAGGAATGGAACAGTATTGTCGTTAGTGACGAGTCTCGATTTTGTTTAGGCATGGTCGATGGTCGAGCGAGGGTTAGAAGGCGACGTGGTGAAAGGAGGAATCCACAGTTTTTTGTTGATCACATGTTGATCACACTGTTGAAGTTATGGTTTGGGGTGCTATAGCTTATGGTTCCAGGTCACCTTTAGTCTTCATCAGATGTAACATGAACGTGCAGCGTTATATCCAAGAAGTTCTAGAACCCCACCTTTTACCCTATCTTGACACCCTGGCAAATCCAACTTTCCAACAAGATAATGCCCGACCACATGTTGCAAGAGTCACAATTGACTTCTTTCAACATAATGATGTCACATTGTTAGCATAGCCACCAAGATATCCCTAATTATCCCCAATTGAGCACGCGTGGGATATGATGGATAGGAGATTGCTCAATTTGCAACGTCTTCCTTAGACTCTACTAGCACTTCGATAGGAGTTGGTGGTTACCTGGAATGAGATACTACAAGAGGACATTGACCACCTGATCAGAAGAATACTTAGGCGCGTTGGAGAATGCGTAACACATCGGGGTGCATGCACACATTATTAAAGGTACAAGAGCTTTAAAGCAATGCAATCATTTTGAAAGTTTAATCATTTACTTATTATGCTTTATTAATTACTTATACAAAATTTTATTAAAATAAAATCATTTAAACTGGGTGTTCGGATTTCTATGTCACTTAGTATACAATGGTGAGTGCTTTATCACCCGGCTTTTTAACATAAGAGATAGAAAACACAGTTACATTGTGAAATAAAAAGAGATGAAACTCGTAGAGGTGGGAAATAATCGATAGAAACCTATAATTTACATTACATTACATTACCACTATTGATAGTCTCACACCTTTAGACGTTAGCTTTGAGCTAAATCACCTCGGTCATAATTATTATGTGTGACGTCGTATGCGTGACGTATTTCAGTGACATTTTTTAATTTCGCATAAAGAAAAAACATTGACCACCATAAAGCAAAAATGAGAATAAAATAAATTAATTAATATTGATTATTTATTCTAAAGTTTTAAATTATTAACCAAGAATAATTTCTACTATGATTTGAGGAACATACACTCTTGTCACGGAATAAACATCAATCCTTCGTGGATTAGTGGTAAGAATTCGACACTGCGACGCAGACGATTAGAGTTCAAAACCCACATGTGGTTTTCTTTTTATTTTTTTAAATAATTTAAAATTATGCAGAGATCGTTTTGATTTAAATCACTAAACATTTATGTCAGTCGTTACTAGCATTAGAAGTGTTTAAAGTTAAACATAAATATCTTTTTGAATTTAAATTATTTTGTATTTCCGTTTTATAACATTGGAATAAGAATAAATTGTAAATAATGAGTTTTTCTAAAACTTGTTACCTAATATGTATCATATTTTCTATTATTTTTTGATTGAGTAAAACAAAAATTTTATCCTTGGTGAGAATTGAACCCCAAACTTCTTGTCAATAGACCACGTGTCTAAGTATTAAACCAACTTCACATACAATAATTGTTTTCGGACAGAACATACCTACCTTTAGTTTAGTCAAATATTTCAGTTGAGCTATTTTTATTATTAAATAAACTTTAGATTTGTAATTTAAAATCGCTACTAATTAATGTTTTTTACTTTAATTCTTAATTTATTCAATCATTTATTCTAATATCAGAAATTATTAAAATAAAATATTTTCGATATCATCCGTATAATTATGACTGGAGTCAAATAGCTAGGTCTAAGAACTAGCTTTATCTCATTCTTTCTCACAAAATCCGTCTTCTTTCCTTTCCGCTATTTAGCCGGGTTTTAAAGCGACTTTAAAAACTTCTAATACTAGTTAGCTCGAAGCTAAGGTCTAAAGGTGTGAGACTATCGACAGCATATCGACAGTGGTAATGTAATGTAAATTATAGGTTTCTATCGATTATTTCCCACCTCTACGAGTTTCATCTCTTTTTATTTCACAAGGTAACTGTGTTTTCTATCTCTTACGTTAAAAAGCCGGGTGGTAAAGCACTCATCACTGTATTGTATTGTCCATGTAAAGAAATGCTTTATCCGGGGTTAAACCTGAAAAAGTTATTGATATCATTCTTGAAAAGCTATTTGGGCTTACGTTTAATCCAAAAGGTAATCTGGTGAATTGAAGTGCTCCATTTTTCATGTTAAACGATGTGTATTTCCTCGATGATTTTTCTAATGGTATTTGGTGAAAACACACTAGGTTTATAACTGAAAACCATTTTGCTCTCCCTAGTTGATCTAGTATTGAGTCTATTCTTGATAATGGGAATTTGTCTGTGACTATTTTCTTGTTTAGTTGTCTAAAATCTATGCATAATCTTCATGCTTTATGCACAATTATAAACAATTACTGCTCAAAATTTGCAAATTTGCTGAGTAATTTAAAATGAATATTTACACTTTGACAGTTATTTGGCTGTCAAAGTGTAAATATTTATTTTTAAATTTCTCAGCAAATTTGCAAATTTTGAGCAGTAATTATTTACAATTTAATTAACCCCCTCTGTGGCTCAGTGGTAAGAGCGCCTGCCTTTAAACCTAAAGGTCGTGAGTTCGAATAACACCTGGGTGGAAATTTTCGTTTATTAAAAAAATTAATAAATGAAAATAATTTCTATCCTTGTGTGATCGGTACACCCCGGAGGGACCGCAGACGTTCGGATACAATTAGCGTCTCTTAGCAAAGACAATGACGTCGACTTTGCTAAGTATCAAGACAATTACTCTACACACACACACACACACACACACACACACACACACACACACACACACACACACACACACACACACACACACACACACACACACACACACACACACACACACACACACACACACACACACACACACACACACACACACACACACACACACACACACACACACACACACACACACACACACACACACACACACACACACACACACACACACACACACACACTACACCTCAAATTGTAAGATTGGCGAATGGATTTAGTGTCCGCAGTCATTTAAACACAAACAAACAATACAATTTAATTAATTTATTTGTTCTTCTATTTTTGATTTCTGACGGTATAAAAAAGGATCTATTATGTAAATCCAATTTGGATGTTAATTTTTTAGTTATGTCACGCTAGCAGCATCTTTTTAACTTTTATTTAATTTTTAGGTAAAGATCTCAATTGGAAAATTTTAAAAGATATATCCTATTTCGCTGCAATGGGTGTAGCAGGTGGCGGAAGAAATGAAGTAGATCCAAGATTTATATCTATGTTTATCGTTATAAACTTAGTGTTTCCCACAACGTCAACACTCCATCATATATATACCAACATTCTCAATGGTCATCTGTCAATATTTGAAGAGGAAGTCCAGATAGCTCCCCTATTGATGACCATTACATTAAATCTTTATAATGTTTGCATTAACCAGCTACCACCAACACCAAGTAAATTTCATTACATTTTCAACATGAGAGATCTGTCAAGAATTACTGCAGGTAGGTAAAAAACTTTTCTACCACAATATTAGTAAAAAGTATACAACACAGTGTAAGCGTCATTTCCAAGTCAAAGTCGATGAGTAATTATCTGGTTACCACAAATTTATTATTTACTTCCGATATCTCTAGTTAGTATGTGTAGCATGTAGTTATTTCTTGATAAATAAACAAGTCTTTCTGGTTACATATCTTTTTATGAAATTTTTGGGTTATAATTCCTAATATAAGAAAGACATAAGGACATGGTGTCAAAAGTTTAACTCGTGGGATCCGACTTAAAATGCTACATACTATCTTATCTGCAAAAAGTTTTGGGAAACCGGAGAGTGGCCCAACGACTGAACAACATCCATTTTCATCCCTATATTCAAAAAAGGGACTCCGCTAGATTGCAGCAATTACAGAATGGTAACCCTAATATCCCATGCAAGCAAGGTTCTACTTCTTCTAATACATGAAAGACTAAAAGCTTTTCTATTGCCTCAGATATCACAAGAACAAGCGGGAATTGTCCCGGAAAAAGGCACAAGAGAACACATCCTTAATGTCAGACAGTTAATCGAAAAAACTCGTGAATTCAATACTTCTATGCTTAAGTGCTTTGTGGATTACACAAAGGCCTTCGATAAAGCCAAATGGCAGCAGCTATGGTCTATATTATCGAAAATGGGAACACCCCACCACTTAATTCAACTAATTGGAAGTTTGTATAAAAATAAAAAGGACACAGTAAAAATAACCGACACCCATTCAGATCATTTCAGAACAGATTCAGGTGTCAGGCAGGGATGCATAATCTCGCCAAACCTGTTTAATATTTACAGCAAATACATTATGCGAAAGGTACTAAAAGAAAAGCAAAACATATGGACTACATCTAAATAGGAGTAAGGCAAAAATCATGATAGTAGACAGAGCTCGTAATAATCTTCAACACATTAAAGAAATTGGGGGCTTTGAAGTAGTAAATAGTTTCATACACCTGGGGTCCCTGATAACAAATGACGGAGTGTGTGACAGAGAGATACGTAGAAGGTTGACTATTGCTAGAATAGGTATGATGGAACTGTTTGGAAAGCTTGGAAACTGGTAGCAATTTGGAAAAATTCTAGCATAACAATAAACACAAAACTATGGCTGGTAAGGGCGCTCATTTTTCATGCCATAGCCACATATGCATCCGAAACGTGGATCTTAAAGAAAGCGAATAAAAATAAAATGGACGCTTTTAAAATGTGAGTATACCGCCGCATGTTGAGAATACCCTGGATTGATCATCGCACGAACGTATCGATATGATACCTACTTAACGTAAAGGATAGATTGCTTAATCAAATATAACAGAGATATTTGCAGTATTTTGGACACATTGCTAGAAGAACAGGTGTGATGGAAAAACTGATAGTCGATGCTAGAGTTGAAGGACAGAGCCCTAGGGGAAGATATCCAAGCCGTTGGGTAGATCAAACAAAAAGATTAATTAACCAAGGGTTACATGAAGCAGAACAACTAGCTAAGGACAGAGAAGGATGGAGGGAAATCGCGAAAAAACTGTAAAGGCCTGATGGTGTCATCAAATCCCAAAAAATATTAGGACTGGGGAGGATCTTAGCCGAATGAGTTACGGCCGTCACATTGGACGTATACATTCATTTTATTGAAAAGTTCTTCATTAGAAAAGACATATACTAAAATCACAATCAGGATGCACTAGAAATAAACAAACCAAGGCACTTCAATGTTACGAGGAACACTCCCGAATCATGATTTACGAGGTATATACATTGTATAAATCCCACAAAGTTTATATATTGTAAATCATGATTCGGGAGCGTTCCTCGTAACATTCAAGTGTCTTAGTTTGTTTATTGTAATGTGAGCGTAGCAAGTGAGTGAGAAGTTGAATTAAATGGTTAAGTAGCATAGAAAAGATAATAATTATTCGAGATAATTATTATATATTCCGAATTAAATAAGGGATAATTATTACAGTAAAGTTTGCATTTTAAATCATACAAAGAAATTGACCTAGTTATTGCATTGTTTGTTAATTGTTTAAACGTATAAAAAGCACGAAACTATTGTTGTAAAAAAATAACAAGACCCGTGACCCAAATAGAAGCAATAACGCCAAAACTGCAACTCAGCGAAACTACGACCTTGGTACTAGAACCGGCGTTGAAAGTACGACCACAATAAAACAAGAAGAAACGACGGACGCCGGGTAGTCGGTAGTCAGTAGTCAGTCAGTCAGTAGTAGTGAGACGGCGGGCGTCCAGGCATCAATTGCCGCCCCGGGTACTCTCGGCGCGGGAGCGTCGGGTACGAGTAGCTAGTAATGGGCAGTCAGTAATAGCGGGCCACCGTGGCTCGGACGCGATAGCGTCCCGTACGCGATCAGTACGAGACAATAGGTGATTCTCCGGGGGCCGCGTATCAGCTGGCATAGTATCGCGTGTAGTCCGGTTATTGTGGCCGCTCGAAAGTTCGCAACCCTCAACTGACCGAGTTCCAGAAGACTGAACGTGTCGTGGTTGAAGCCCTAATATACACATAAGGTAACAGATTTCTTATACTAACCTGTGTAATTATATTAGTACCACTGTCAACTCTTCACTATCTTGCTACATCGTCTCCCGACGCGCAGAATAACGTGTTAACGATTGTATTAGTAACTTCAGGGTAGATTCAATATATTGTTGACTCTAATTTGGTTTTTTTTTATGTTCCTTTCGTCCGACTCACTAGAGACTAGGAGAACACGAGATTCTGCGTATGCATATCTCCGGCTTCAAAAGTAAGCCCATAACCTCTACTCTTCACAGGACCTGAGACCTAGGAGTCCTCACCCCTATCCCGAAATCCCTTATCTTCTCGTAAATCCACGAAGACGAGCCAGCCCTCCAGACCAGTGTGACCAGTATTCCTTGCAGCCGCTCGCAGGGTTAGCATCCCTTGAGGGTCTATTGTGTATTTCATTTGGTGACAGCGTTTTCCTTACCTTCACATAACGCTCCCATACTTTATTCATTTACAGTGGTGACAGCCTTATCACTTCTCGTAAATCTGTCCCACCCTATCTCGAAAATGCCCTTATCACTCTCGTAAATCTACTTTATTACACTGGTGACAGCCGGTCCCGGTTTGGGGGAATTTTGGAAAATAGGGATAATTAAGTCACTTCTTCAGTATCCTTGTAAACTTTTGCAAGTTGTGTAGCTATAAGAAGCCTTCATCATTTCATTTCGCCAGTGACATTCCAATTTTTTTCTTCTCTTTCCTAAGACGACAACAGATTAAAAAAACAGTGAGGTATCCAGTAAATATTGTGTGGAGTGCAGGACTCCCTTTTCTGGAAGAAAATCCTTTTTCTGTCTTTGTTATATAAACTTGTTAGTGGTTTTACACAAATTATTCGTATATAGTAGATTTTTTTTTTGTGTCTTGTATCACTGGAAAATAACCTCATATCAATTCCTTCCTGAGACTTAGAATCCTAAATTAAGATAGGTGAATTGCTTTTATGATATATGTGAAGAGATGACAAGTACAAATTTTTTCAAAAAAAATACATACTAACACATTATATGATGTTCTCTATATAATCGTTTTTTTAATTACCATAATATTTCACAAAAAAAACATATAAACTATACTGTCTAACAGAATATATGATATATGATGGTATAACAGAGAATATTAATTATCAGTCGAATATAGGAATTGAATTATTTAAAGAAATAATAAATATATTGTTTACTAACTAGTTGAATATAAAGAATTTAAGTAATTAGGTCAAGATCAAGTTCTTTAGAGTGTACAATTTCATTACTTAAAAAAAAAAGTGCAGAGTATTATTTCTTGGATTACTACGTTACTAACTGTTTACATATTATCAAATTCTTTTGTTTAATGTATCAAGTGAAAGTGAAATATGATACTATTTGCTCGACGTGTGTTGGAAAAATATTTATATTGACGCGAAGTATAGAATTACGACGTAAATCGCGGAGCTAGCGAATTCTTGTGATATACACTAAGAATTAGATATGACTTTGTTTAACTAATTAATTATGGGATATTTGGAATTGAAAAAAAAATAGCGTTTCATTTGTAAAAAGGAAAAGAATTTAATAGAGTTTAATTTTTCAAAAAAATAAATACTAACACCTTAGTTGATATCTGAGTATTGATTGATCGATCGATTCTTATTTGATTCGATTATTTAATATTTTATACAGATTTGTTTTTAATTTCGGCAGCGGACATTTCTAAGTTCTTTTATTTTATCAAAAATTTAATTCTTTATACAATTGTTGGTTAACTTCATAAATTGGCACATCATACTGAGATGGACATATAAAAGAGGGAAAAGAATTTAATGGAGCTTTGGAAGATAATTGACCGTGGTGTCAGAAAATCTTTTTTACTATTTTGGAACGATTTCCACGAACATATAAGTTCGGGAATGGATGCATCGCAAGGAAAATGCATGGAAGCACGTAAAGTGGTTCTTTGGGCTGTGGCCCATATTATTTAAAGAAAATTTAAATGGGATGTGGCGTCAGAAAATCTTTTTCACTATTTTGGAATGATTTCAACGAACATATGAGTTCGGGAATGGATCCATTATGGAACAGTCAAGATTTAGTAGACGTAGAGCTTGCATCGCAAGGAAAATGCATAGAAGCAAGTAAAGTGGTTCTTTGGGCTGTGGCCCATATTTAAAGAAAATTTGAGTCGAATCGTTGTCAACGTCCTATAGAGATTTTGACAAACGTAACTTGCGAGACACTAGGAGGCTTGCTGCAGTTTATGTACCAGGGAAAAGTGCAAATTGGACAGGAAGACCTAAGGGCCTTCACTGAAGCGGCCGAATCGTTGCAAAGGCAAGGACTCGTTGGAGACGGAAAAAAGTATAATAGTTACTATCGTTTAGAGTAACTTGCTACAGTTTATGTACCAGGGAAAAGTGCAAATTGGACAGGAAGACCTAAGGGCCTTCACTGAAGCACTGAATCGTTGCTAAGGCAAGGACTCGCTGGAGACGGAAAATTCATAGTTAGTTACTATCGTTTAAAGTAACAATATAAAAACTTTGGACGAAGAAGGTACTCTGAATGTAGAAGAGTTTAAGCCAGTTTCTTTGCTTGAGACAAAGAAGCAAAACCATAAATAAGAAGAAATAATTTAGTGGACACAGGTGGGATGCCACAGAAATAGAGGCATATCTCACACAGCATGCGAAGGTGAATACAGTGCCAGAAGTATATTTTTTTTACAGGAATGTGGGCAAGCTGTATATGGTTCGACCTTAAGGGGTGAAACTTACGTCAAGTAGGAGGCTGCTAAGGGGATAATCTAGGGTGGTACTAGAATCCCAACCCGCTAAGAGTCCCGCGGCTCCAGCACGACAATACAGTATCTACAGGATGTAATAAAAATGCGAAACGAATCTGGAATTGTGATTTTCGTTAATAAAGTAAATGGAAAAGTGAAGAAAAAGAAGAGTTATAATTAATACCTTCCACATGTTACAGGAAGGATATGGAAGAATAAATAGGATATATAGTACAGAAATATAAGAGAATATTATTTCTGGAACGATTTGTGAAGAAGTATTGAGAAATATGTGAAATGTGAAGAGATGCGACGACTGCCAGGGGCACAGAGACCGGAGGGGCCGGAGACAGAATTCTGTCTCCGGCTTCTATAATATAAAAATGTAGCTTCTCCAATTTAAATTTTAAAGTGTTTGTTTGTCTTTAGTGTATTTGTTATGTCCCAGTTTACATGTATGACATTCGGTTATTGCTGGATAGGCCACAATTGACGAAATGCCCCTGAGGATGATCTTGTGATCGAAAGTACTTGGGCAAGATTTAATTAAATACTGTGTTCGATATTTGCCTTGTGTACCATCAAAGTAAAAAAGAGTGACTACAAATTGGATTCAGATGATGCAAAATCGGACTAAGTGGAAGGTCTATGAAGCAATAGACGTTAGTGGCTAGATGATGATGTGATTTTATAGTTACACTCTGTCGAATGCTTTTTTTTAAATCAATGAAGTATATGTAGGGTGGTTTCTTGCATTCTATAGATTTCCTAAGTATTTGTCTGATTCAAAACTCCGCATTTTTATCTCCGCAAGATCTTCAGCTTGTCCTTTTTCTGGTATATTAGATATTTTTGATAACTTACTTGTTAGTACTTTTATTGAAGTTTCAAAATGGAGCTTCACAGGTTTATTTTGATCATCTTTATCACCAACCTGTATGCGTTCACTGCGTCTCCCTCAGCTCTTTCCATCTGTGTCTGTTTTGTGTGGCTTGCAAGTTATTGCGAGCATTATAGTGAGATACCCCACATCTGGCGCTCCATAGCCATCTGAGTTACGCGAATCTTATTAAATACCTTTTTTGTGATATTGTTTCCGCTCCATAAGTGAGTACAGGTAACACACATTGATCAAAGATTTTCTTTTTGAGGCATATGGGTAGATCCCATTTAAATACATAGTTGAATTTACCAAACGCTACCCAGGCAAATCCTATTTGACGTGGGAGCTCACATGTCTGGTTATCTCTGCCCAACCGGATTTCATGTCCTAGGTACTTATACGATGTAGTATGTACAATATCCCTTCCATCAATAGCAATATTTCGATTTAGCACTAGATTAGTCTTTATTTGCGTCTTGTTCATATTAATCTTTAGTCCTACCTCCAAGGAAGCGTGATATAGTTTTTTAAACAATAATATTGCATCATCCATACGATCGGCTATAAGGACGATGTCATCTGCAAATCTCAAATGACTGAGCTTTCCTTCATTTATGTTCATACCATACTCGTTCGGATGTGCCTTCCTAGCAGGCGACCTAAGGGGTAGCGGGTGGATACTTCTCTGCGACCCTGGCAGTGGATAGATCTACTTTAGTAATAACATACCTTTCCACACAGACTCATCCCATCCCCGGGGAAACCATGTCGAAACCCAAAGCATTTCTATCTCCACCCTTTTCTTCGCCCACTTCCAAACCAACTTGCCAACACGCACTAACCAATCATGGCGTTTTAATGGATTAAAACCATAGAAGTTATTTTATTCTGATATTATAATGATATTCTGTTTGTTTAATTTTGCTGTCTAAATAAATTTTGTTATTGTCAACCTTATGAATCGAACCTTTAACTGTTCTATTTCCTTGCAAGCATGCTTATTTTTTAAAAGTTGTTATATAAATATTTCTTATAGAAATCATGTCATGAATGTGTTACCTGTGTGAGTCTATTTCAAATAAGAATAAAGAAATAAATAAGACTTAAAACGGTAATGACGGTATTAGATTTTGAATCCATATAGAGCAGCGACAAGCCGCATATACGTATTTCGACCTCTTTAGGTCTCCTCAGTACTGTATAGCCACCTCTCTGTATCGAAACAAAATATTTTCCCATCGTAGACCATAGTTATCAAAAATAGCTATGTAACGACGCCATCTAAGAACAAAAAGAGAAATCATACTATTTCTACCTGGCGAAATCGAATTTAAATACCAGCCACCGTGCTTTATAAAACTTGCAAAGCAAACAGCTTGCAACATGCAAATCAGTTTAATTTAACTACCTAGACGACCGGTTTCGCTTTCTACAATTTGCAAAGCATCTTCAGGTCAATCGGTACAAAGGTAATTAAATGCTGAAATAATAAAAACCCATATTAGGGTACTGTCTTATAAAGATAAACATAATATAAAATAATAGAAAATTACAGTAATTATGCCAATATTATATGGCTGTGTTTTTTAATATGAATAAACTGTTTAAGCAGACAAAGTAAGACCCACAAATTGGTATAGAGTCTATGAAATTGTAATAAATTAGTAAATAAACAAAACATTACTTACATGTCGGTACAAGATTTATTAATGATTTGGAGAACATAGTTCAAACTATCCTGTAATTGATGGTGATGGGGATCTTCAGTTTTTACTATTGTAACTGTTTAATAATTAATAAATAAGTTTCCTTATTTATTTCTCTTTTACCTATTTCTTATAGATTTTAAATAATTTTCAACGTTATGTTATTTGTTTTAAAACATCTAATAGGTATTTGCTTGAGTGTTCCAAATCTGTATACAAAACTGGCATACATTGTCCGCTTATGGAGAAATGAGTTTTTAAGAGTAATATGTGATAGACTGATAAACCAAGATGATCAGAATTTAATGACAAAGCACATTTTGTTGGAATTGGAAAATGCCTTTCCCAAGAAAGAAGAGAAAGCTAAGGATATGCTAAAACAAATCGACGACGACGATTTTGTATTCGAGCCGATACAGGAACAAGATGATGAGGTAAGATTACAATTAATTACTCATGGAATCTGTGTCTTAGGACCGATTATTCAAACGCTAATCAATACTTCATTGTAATCAAATATTTAATTAAAATCAAATACTCCACATTTTGAAGTTATGTTATTTTTATTTTATTTAATTTTATTATTTTGTGTTTTAATTTAAAATAAACCATAAATAAACTCTTTCTGATGATAATTTCATGTTTTTATTTACAAATAAATAATAATATTAAGCAATTTTTAATAATTTTGACAGCTGTTGTGATGTATTTGATTGGAATTAAATATTTGATTACAATCAAGTTTTGATTAGCCTTCGAACAATCGGCCCTAAATCTTTAGGTATAATTTTTTTTTGGATATATAGTATTGACAAAATTACAGTTTGGGTATAAATTTTGTGGAAAGGTTGTTGGTATGTTGTTATTAATAGGTTAAATATATTATAAAACGGACATTGGCACAATTTTTTTTTGTTACGCTTTCAATATCGATTGTTAAACCCTTGCAGGTTTCCAAATATATCGTTTTACAATATTTGGATAAAGTTTTTTCATGTAGTTTTCTCTACAATATTTTGATGATTTGTATAGTCTTCTTGATATTATTTTTAAGATTTTGGGCAGAACTAATTTTTCTACTAATCGGTTTTTTCTAGGGCATAAAATATGAAAAAGGTCAGCAGTCAGCAATTAATTCCATTGCACATACACGTGTAAGCCATTTGGTCAAGCGTACCCAAGCTACATTTTCTACTAATATAATATTATATAATTTGATTTTTTATTAATATGATCATCACAATCTGCATTTTGGTGCATGGTAGACATATCATTTTGGAATATAGAAAACTAAAAATGAGTTTGCAATGAATTCGCTGTATATTATTCTCTATTTAAAAGAAATTGCTTGTCTGAGTAGACCAGTCCGTATTTGAAATCAACCTCAAACCAGAAGTGTCAGGGATGACATTTTCATATAATATACGCGAGAATAGTTGGAGGTCCAGGTCGTTGTTAAATTAATTAATTTTTGCTTGTCAGTTAGTTAGTTCTGTATTTGTATATTTTTAATAAAATTTTTAAGTTTGTGATTTACGGGTTTGAAGAATACCCACGGTACAAAATAGATAGGTATATTATATAGCATATATATGCCACGAACTCGTTCTTTAAAATAAAAACATAACAGAAAATGGACATGTGTATGCCAATATGGAAAGACAAAAACGCTGGTGGATTTTTTTATAATATGAGAAATAGAAAACATATTGTTCGGAACGGAGGTGTTTAAATAGATTCTCTACGGAAAGTAACCACCAAATGCTAAGGGTAAAAGTTGAGATTAGTTTAATTACCATGTTTAAAATTAATACCATATCATATATCGCTACTTCAATACAAAAGAGCCACAAACCAAAATTACAGTTTTTACAGTAGAGCTATGCAAAGTTTTGGCCTTTATTTTTTGTTAATTTCTCTTTTATTTTATATCATTTATATGCAAGTTAAGTATTGTTAGAAAGGTAAATTTAAATTGTATTTGATATTGTATTCAGATACAACGTAAGTATTTTCCTGAAAGAGATATTAGCAAATGTGTCTCTTTTCTATAAAAAATATTTGTGATATCATTATAAGTATTGAAAATAAAAGGACACATACCAAAGAAATAAAGATTTTAATTAATGTTTTTGTCATTACTTTATGTAGATTTTAGTACAATTATTACAAAAAAAAGATGACAATGTCAGGCTATCAAAAAAAAAAAAAAAAGTTAGTTATAAAGCTAAATAAGTCTTGGTTTCGGAAACATAATAAAACTCTGTATCTTAAATTACAACGATGTAGTTACTCTCAAGTTACATAGATAGGTAGTGATAACTTATTAAACACACTTCAAAAATGACCTATTATTTTTACACGGTACAATTATTATTTATAACTAGCTAATAAAAACACTGTCACATTTTGGTCATAATTTGTACTTATTGAGTATTAGTTGCATAAACAACTAGAAATATTAAGAAATCGTGATAAAAATGAATCAACCGTTTATAAGAATCTGTATAACTCTATACTTGAACATCCGTCTTAAAGATTGGAAAAGAATCCTTTATAATACTTTGGTATGATATTTTTAGTTATCAAGTTAAGAATATCCTGTTTCTTTGGTTGTGCAATTTTTAGCTTCTGAGAATATAATCTCTTTGGTGTAATGTCAGAATTACTAGAATTTTGTTGCCTTTTTTTTTAATGTCATCACAGATTTGAACATTTGAACATTTGAACTTGATAAGAAGTCATATATGAAAATGTGTTAATTTTTTGTTTTTCAATGTGAATTATCTTTATTTCACACGATTTCAACTTATCTCCATCTTCGTTAGTGGTGTATTTTCCACAAGCAAGTTGTTTGAGATTAAAGAAACCTTTATGGGTCAGTTCTTTCACTGAATAAGGCGACCCTTTTTTCTTTGCTGTTTATTAATGTTATATATTGGTCAGGCACATAAATTGGAGAAGACTTCAAAGCTCTTTACACATTTCTTTGAATTGTAGAATGAACCGCATCTCCCTCATTTTGAATGTGTCCTTTAATTAGAAATTTGTGAGTAACACTCTTCAGTTTTGGGAATGTATTTACGGCATATTGATACATTGCCACCATATATTTATTTTTTTGCTGACCACAGCAATTGACGCTATAAAACACAACGTCGAAATCATCAGTTGCTTTGTTTTGTAAATATTCCAAATACATAAACACGCACGAACCAATTTCATTTACTCCTCGTGCTTCTTCTCCTTTATGCCATACAAAACAAGTTGTAGCTTTAGAACCCAGTTTCGTAATTGTAAAATTAAGTACATTTACTTTAGAAATATAATAAAAACTAGAGACTCCGCCCCGTGGACAAGGCATTACAGCCTGCAAATCATATACTGCAACTATAAAATTCTCAGTAACTTTTTGTTTGTGTAACTTTCAGAAGATCCAGGTTGTGAAAATAATTGTTGCTCTTCAGTTAAATGCCTTAAATAAACATTATTTTCATCCGAATAAGTGTCACTCTTTAGTGAATCGTCCTTGCTTGGAAAGTCGGGATCCTCAACACTGTCGCCTGAAGAGAAATCAGCCCTGGAGCTGCTTGAAAACGAAGACGAACTACTTGAAGACGAAGACGAGCTGCTTGAAGATGAAGACGCAAAGTCGCTATCATATTCGGTTTCCTGAACTATTACCTTTGGCCTGATATTTAGGGTATTAGCTTGGTAGTTTGTACCATCGTCACTAAAAATATTTAAATTGTGTTGGCTACCAGGTATGGCATTAACGTATGGTTTTGTTGAATCGTAAAGTAGTGGATCAACATCTTATGGCTGGGTTTCCAAGTTTACTAACATAGGCAGAGTGTCATAAGTGTTGGCTTGCTCCTTGAATCCGATTTCTTGAATTTTCTCAGGTTTATTAGTACTGGTTTTACACCCAATCATGTCGATGATTCTATGCACTCTTCTACTTATTCTGCAACAAATAAATTGTTAATGTACAATTAACAATATCAGAGTTCTCTTTTTATTAGAATTGCACAAGTAAAATATTTTGGTTTTATATAAATACATAAATATAGACTTCAGATATCAGAGCTGGAAACAAATTAATTACAATTAAAAATTATGTACTTTACTTAAAAGTAAAAGTAATTTATTTCCCTATACAGCTGTGATGTGATCGTTATACATAATATTTTCTTTTTCGAGATAAGAATGTGATTACTTTTCACTATGGTATTACGAAGCCTAAACAAAATTAAAATAAAAGACAATCAGTCCCATTAATAATAACTTGATATCCACGGGAAGCGACTCAAAAAAGATATTTTGTTTACGTACGATAAATTTAAGTACCTAAATGATTGCTTGTTACTTACATTATGAATTAATTTGCGGAGTAGCAAAATACATATTCATATTCTTATTTCATACCATATCATACAAAACAGACGTTGATAAAGATGTTAATAGAGACATGAGGAATCTAAAATTTGCATTCCACGACATATCTCCTCAACTAAGCAAAAATCCTTAGCGAATTGGTTTCTTGTACTCATACAGAGTATATCCAAATAAAAAGAAAAAGACAGTCAAGATTTGATTCCACGTACAATGTGTGTGTATCTGCTTACAAGTATTTCGCCCTGATAGGGCTCATCAAAACAGCTATTCACAGGCGTTCTGAAAGTGAAAATAAATCTTTTCTGTCTTAAAAAGCAACTCTAACATAGCTTCGTATAGACGCAAATAGCGACATCTGATATTAGAATCCGTAAACTAATTTTCGAAACCAAATTCAGATTTTTGCTTTAATCTGTGCCTTCTAAGAATTGCAAGACAATTTTAAGATTTCAATGTACTCTCTTTTAGATTTATTGTTCTCACGGTGAAAAATTGTAGTGATTGTGTAGTGAAATGGACATCTGTGGCTAATGCACAACGGTCAGGGTGAAGTCAAGAATCACTTTTGTGTAATGAGATACGTGATTTCAATAATTGAGATGTTTGTCCGATGTAGGAATTGTTGCAAGAGAGGCATGAAATGCTGTAGACAATATTGCTAAGCATACTTATAGCAGTTTTATCTTTGATCTTAGAATAAAGATTATTAATTGTTAGGGCTGATCTACAAGCCACATTAAATTTAATGTTGTTATTATTCTTACCAAAGCTAATTTCAACAATTTTTAGAATCCTTGTTAACCCCGGAGTGATATCTCTGAAGTATGGTAATGAGAAATATTTGTTAATAGGAGTATTCGAGACTGGGTTCCCACTTAAGACATCAGGGGCAGCATTGTTAATCGCGAAGGAAGGTGAAGTACGTTCGTTATGGACAGTGTTTAACAAAATCTTATTTAGTAATGGTGTTGGATTAGCGTTTGAAATGAAATGTTTCTGTGGAATTTGTGGGTTTGTTGTATGAAAAGAAGGATCCACTATTTTTATTACTCTATTTTTCATCTGTTTAATTAAGTTGACTTTGGTAGAATTATTATGGCAAGAGTGGTAATTAAGGTATCTACCAGAAGGGGTCGGTTTTTGATACCAATCTATTTTAATGTTGTGGTTTTCCCTGATCTTACTTATATCGAGAAACTGCATGGACCAATTACCATGTTCCCTCTCTATTGTGAACTGGATGTAGGGGTCATACCTATTGAAGGTGTCTAGTAGTTCATCTACCTTGTCATAGCCAACATGATATCATCAACATATTTTTTAATAATTTGAATTTGAAAGGATAAAAAATGAATGACTGAGTCTAACACTTAATTGATAATGTAAGTTGCAATGATAGGAGAAATCTTTACTCCCATAGGGGTACCGAAAGTTTGTTGATAGAATTTTCATTAAATGGGAAGTAAGTATTGTTAAAGAAAAATTCGACGATGCTAATGAATCTGTCATAACACATAGAACAACAACCTCTAATACGGTCCCAATTGATCTCTATTGATGTCAAACATAATTCTAGACGAACGTTGCTGAATAAGGATACAACGTCAAGGCTAACGAGGACATAATTTGATGGTAGTATGTAACCATCATATTAATGTACCATTTCAAAAGAACTTTTAATGTAATATTGAATTTCATAATTATATACATTAGTAAGTATGTCCGTAACAAAAGCTGAGATATTTTTAGTGGGAGTTTCAATGGAAGCTACTATGGGACGAACCGATAGTGTTGGTTGGTGGATTTTTGGCAAAGAACAAAACTTTGCAATGTTCCCATTATAAGTTGTTAGTTTTTTCTTTGTGTTACGGTCAATCTCATTGGAAGAGGCTAAGGATACGATTAATGTATTGTATTTCCTTTGTAGAGAAGAAGTGGGATTGAATGTAGGTGGAATGTAAGATCTGTCATTTTCAATGAGAGAAGAATCAAGTTGTAAGTAGTGAGTTCTTTCTAAGATGACTGTAACATTACCTTTGTCTGCTTTTGCCCTTAAAATCTCAGGATTGGAGTTAAGACATTTTTTAGTTTTAGTATATAAGTTATGAAAAAAAGAATTAGATGATTTAAAAATATTTAAAATGTGATTAGTAATAATGTTGGTGGTTCTTGACCGGATTAAGCTTTGCTCTATATTAGATGGCAATGATGAAATTATGTATTCCAAGTCTGCTAAAAGTGTTTTTACTTGAAAATCTTTACCTAACTTTGGTTCGATGGCATTAGGAAATTTAGTTCCTAACCTTTGCATTAGAAAATTTATTTCTTAATGCCAAGAAACCTAGAACATCATCAGGAACTGTTGAGGATTTTTTATCCATTTTGGATCAGTTTTAAGAACAGATTCCGTTTTTTTTTTCAAACTTCTTTTAACATCCATGACTCCTTTGTCATTTTGTCACCGCTAAAATCATATTCACAACTTGTTTTATTACAACCTTCTAATCTACATGACAATTCCCTAGAATCATGGTATTCGCAGTCTGAATACTTGGCTAATTTACTGTTAGAAATACAATCTTTTTTAGTCCTAGGCCTTAATCCTACATAATTTGATTCGGTTAGACTTGTCTCACTTAAAAGGAGATTTATGTTGGTTTCTTGATAACAACTAAGGTATGGTTGACACATTTTCGTGGGCTTTTTTGAGGAGTTGTATACGCATTAAAAATAGAAATTTTTGAATAAAAACCGTGTCAGGTTGAACTGTATATATATATATATATATATATATATATATATATATATATATATATATATATATATATGTACAAATTATATTTTTAGGAGGAAAAAATAGATATTGTAGAATATGCAATGCGAGATCCGATCTTGTTCGGAGACTTTCGCAATGCATCTAACGAAGCCGAACCCCGTTTATATGAAGATTTGCTTGATTATGAAGCCGTTTACTCCCTATTTCAAGAACTCATAGAATTGTACAATGAAAAGAAAGAAAAAATGAATATCATTCTTTTTAACGATGCTCTGGAACATCTTACCAGAATATACAGAGGCTTGCGGCTAGAAAGAGGTCACATGATGTTGGTTGGCGTAGGCGGATCTGGAAAAAGAAGTTTTACCAGTCTAGCAGCCTTTACTGCTGGGTGTGAAATTTTTGAAATAACACTTTCTAGAGGTATCTATATTAAATTTTGGGTATATATATATATATATATATATATATATTTATGTCATCATTAATCTTTACTGTATTTACTTTTAGGCTACAATGAATCTTCCTTTAAAGAAGATCTGAAAAAACTATATACGCAACTGGGCACAGATAACATGCCAACCTGCTTCTTTTTTACAGCAGATCAGATTATCGAAGAAGGTTTTCTAGAATTTATAAATAACATTCTTATGATAGGATATGTCCCCTCCTTATTTGCCGATGATGAAAAAGATCAAATTATAAATTCTTGCAGAACTGCAGCTACCAAAGCGGGATATGGCGTAGCTAAAGACGCTGTCTGGCAATATTTTTTGCATACTTGTCAGGATAACTTACATGTGGTGTTGTCAATGTCCTCTGCTGGAGATCTTCTAAGCAAAAGATGTCGCAACTTTCCAGGTAACCTTATAGACATATAATAAATAATTCTATAAAATAAGCATATATTACCATCTCTTTACAACGACTATTTAAATTCTTACGTGACATTTTTAAAATAAAACACACTAATTTTGTTCTAAAAAGAACAGATTTTATTAAATAGGTAAAAATATAAAACAAGAGATATTCACTTTAAAATTCAAAATAATAAAGTACAAAAAGTGTCATCACCGCAACTGTCAAATAACTGTTACCAATTTATGCCAAAATTTTATCATCGTTCGATTACAGTTACAGTGTGTTCCGAACAAGTGTTCTTAATAAAAACTCTTTATAATGGATTTATACAAATTAAATGAAACATATTATTGTGTATCTCTTGAAGTTAACATTAATAGAAATTTTTAAATATTATTTCTACGCGTATATAATAAAATATGTCTAGTGGCTGTAATGCCAGTGTACGCGGTAAAGTGATTATAAAAAAAACACACCTAAACCCTAAATATTTCGTGTTGGTATCATATGACGTCACAGGGTATGACATGACGTGCATCGTTATATAAATTAGATGAAGTGTACATAATTCAGTGTGGTCCAACCTCAGGCACGCGGGCCCCATGCGGCTTGAGGCTCGTTAAACTACGGCCCCCGCAATTACATTTCAAAATTATTGCCATTGATAATTAACGCAAAATTATTATTATTATCCAGATTTAGCCATACGGCTCACACTCCCTCTAAGGGGAAAATTTACTCATCCCAGATACCTACGGTATCAAAAGGATTGAGCTCTGGTGGGACTCTTTCCATGTTATCGAGTCCTAGGTGACTTGGTACGTAGGTGTATCTCCTAAAAATTTTCGCACGCATCTGGACGTCGAAAGTAGCACAGCTTTCTGCATGACCTAATACAGATGTTCATTTAGACCCAGTTTTTTTATGTTTTCTAGGAGGTTCTTCGGAATGACTCCAGTGGTAGAAAGAATAATAGGTATCGTCTGCGTACTTTCCATTCTCCATTGTCTTCTTATTTGTATTTCCAGATCTCTGTACTTGGCGATCTTTTCGTTGTACTTAGTTTATTAACTAGCACGAGATCACGAGATCAGGTCTATTATGTGCTACAGTTTGGTCTGTGAGCACAGTGCTATCCCAATATAGCTTTTAGTTGTCATTCTCAAGCAAATTCTCTGGAACGTATTGATAATATGGGAGATGGTTTGTTTGTAGAAGTCCCAGTTTAATAGCTATCTCTTGATGGAGAATCTTCCCTACTGAGTCATGCCGTTCCTTATATTCAGTTGCAGCAAATGCCTGGCAGCCTCCGGTAAGATGTTGGATCGTTTCTTCTTAAATTATTATTATTATCCAGATTTAGCCATACGGCTCACACTCCCTCTAATGGGAAAATTCACTCATCCCAGATACCTACGGTATCAAAAGGATTGAGCTCTGGTGGGACTCTTTCCGTGTTATCGAGCCCTAGGTGACTTGGTATGCTGGAGTATCTCCCAAAAATTTTCGTACACATCGGGATGTTGAGAGTAGTACAGCTTTTTGCATGGTCTTGTAGAGATGTTCATTCAGACCTACTTTTTTTATATTTTCTAGGAGGTTCTTTGGAATGACTCCAGTAGTAGAGAGAATAATAGGTATTGTCTGGGTACTTTCCATTTTCCACTGTCTTCGTATTTGAATTTCCAAATCCCTGTACTTGGCGATTTTTTCGTTCTGTTTAACCAGAAGATTATTGTTGTTGGGTATCGCCACATCAATTAATGTTGCTTGTCTTTTTAGTTTATTAACTAGTATGAGATCTGGTCTATTATGTGCCACTGTTTGGTCTGTGAGCACCGTGCGATCCCAGTATAGCTTGTAGTTGTCATTTTCAAGTATACTCTCAGGAACATATTGATAATATGGAAGATTTTTTGTTTGAAGAAGTCCCAGTTTGATAGCTATCTCTTGATGAAGGATCTTTCCTACTGAGTCGTGCCGTTCCTTATATTCAGTTGCAGCAAATGCCTGACAGCCCCCGGTAAGATGTTGAATGGTTTCCTGAGCTTGGCATCCATATCGGCATTTGTCATTTTGGACCTGAGGGTCTTTGACAATATATTTCAGGTAATTTTTGGTTGGTATAACCTGATCCTGAATGGCCAGTAGTGAACCTTCTGTTTCGGGGAACATCCTTCCTGATGTCAGCCAATAGTTCGACGCTATACTGTCGACGTGGTCTTGACTGACCTCATTGGGATGTCGCCCGAGCAGAGGCTTGCCCATCCAGGTGCGCATTTTTTCGTTCTTAGTAAGGTGGTTTATGCGCATTTCTGGTTCCCTCAGTTTGATCGGTGTTGTGTCATCTACTGCGCAAATCGCGCGATGAAGAGTAGATGTCTCCGCCTGCACCTGAAAATAAGTTCTTAAATTAGTAATCTGTTTTTCTAATTGCTCGCTTATATCCATAAGTCCTCGACCTCCTAAATACCGCGGTAATGTCGTTCTTTCTACTGCACTTCGAGGATGGTGTTTTTGTGCCTTTGTGAGGTGTGTTCGCACTTTTCGCTGAAGATTTTCTATATCCGTTTTTGTCCACTTAACAATACCAAATGAGTAGCTAAGCGCGGAACATGCGTAGGTGTTTAGTGCCTTAAACAAATTTTTACTGTTAAGGTGTGAACGAAGCAGCTGTTTTACCCTTTGTATAAACTCAGTTGTTATCTCAGTTTTCATTTGCTTATGGTCAATCTTCCGCGCTTGCTTTATTCTGAGGTATTTATACATATCATTTTCACCCATGGCCTCGATGTTCTGGCCGTTTTGCATATCGAATCCGCCGGGCTGAAGCTTTCCTTTGATTATATTTAAGACACGGCACTTGTCAAGACCGAAGTGCATACTAATATCATTTGAGAAATTTTCAACAGTTTTTAGCATCTGGTCTAGGTGGTTTCGAGTGGAAGCCATTAATTTCAAATCATCCATATACAACAAATGATTAAGCTTCGCCACAACAGTGTTGTTATTTTTGATACTAAAACCTAAGTCGGTGGAGTTCAGTAGCTGAGATAGTGGGTTCATAGCTAAACAGAACCAAAGAGGACTCAAGGAGTCCCCCTGGAAAAGGCCCCGGTTAATTGGGATATCTTCAGTTTCGATGTTTTTTTCACCAGGTATGTGAAGGTGAATTTTAGTCTTCCACTCTATGTTGGAAGACAACATTATATGCTTTAAAAAGGTCACTATATTAACATCGACTTTATATATTTTCAATATATCTATCAGCCATTGATGCGGTACTGAATCAAAGGCCTTCTTGTAGTCGATGAAGGCGGTAAAAAGGTTCCTTTTTTTGCTGTACGCCTGGTTGGAAATGACTGAGTCGATTATAAGTTGCTCTTTGCAGCCCATGGAACCCTTAGCGCATCCTTTCTGTTGAGGCTCTATGATATTGTTTAGAGAACAGTGTTGGTAGATGCGCTTTGTTACACAGGATGTGACCAATTTGTACAAAGTTGGAAGACAAGTAATTGGGCGGTACTTGGCTGGATCTTAGGTGTTATTTTGATCCTTTGGTATTAGATAAGTGTTATTATTATTATTAATAATTATTAAAAGGCAAACTTCATTGCATTATTTGTTGTCAAGTATTCGCGGTATCAAAAGAATACAATATTAGTAGGCATTATGAATCCCAGCATAAAACAAAATACGACAAATATCAAGGCGAAGTTCGCAATACTCTTGTAAAAGAACTTAAAGCTTAATTAAATAAATAAAAATCTCTATTTACAAAACCGACAGATGTTCAATCATCAAGCTTAGCAGCATCATAATATAAAGTTTGTTTAGAGCTTGTCACAAAAAAAAGCATTTAGAAATGGAGAAATGATCAAGCGATGTGTCGTTATAATGGGGCGATCCTTTGGAGATGCAAATATGGCCAAAATTTTGAATGTGTTTTAGTTTTTCATCAAACTGTATCTAGAAGATTTAATGAGCTGCATACTCATGTATTTAAAAATAAATACCTTAGAATTTTTTTTTCTTTAAGAAAAGAAATCTTACTGTTTTTTGAAAAGGAAATTGTTATTAACACGGACGCATTTATAAAAAAGCTCTAACAAAACATTTCTTCATGAACTGCCATTTTTAACACACATTACCTCTCACTTGAACACATTAAACCTACAATTCCAGGGAAAAAATAACACAGTATCACAGTTGGTTGGTCAAATTGAGACATTTCGCAAAAAACTTGATCTTTTCGAGAACTGCATAAAAATAAACGGCAACACACATTTTCCTGCGTGTTTAGAAATAAATCAAGTAGAAACCATGGTCAAATTCGATGAAAGGTTTTTGGAATTTGATGCCCTAAAACCCGATCTTGAGCTTTTTAACCATCCAATGGGACTCAACATCCAGAACCAATCAGCAGAATACCACTTATAGCTGCGAACTACAGTCCCATTCGGTTTTTCAAGTGAAGAAAAATAAAGACATTAGTACCTTTTAGAAGTTAGTCTTAAAGGATTGTTTTCCTAAACTTCATAACTTTGTGTTGAAACTATATTCAATGTTTGGTAGTACGTATATATGTGAAAGTACATTTTCTTGCTTTAAAGCATATTAAATCTAAAACACGTAATCGCATGGAAAACGATTCTCTAAAAGCGTGTATTAGACCCACTATGACTAGCATAGATATAGATGTGCAAAAGTTAGTAGAGGATAAACTCTTGCCTCAAATATCTCATTAAATTTTAAACATAACAAGTAAATTATAAACCATAATAAAATACGTGTAAATAATATGACGTTTGTATATTATTTTTTAAAATAAACGTTTTTTGAACGAGTCGAGTTCTCTGCCCTTTCATAATAATTTCAAATTTAATACGGCCCGCTACGTCTAAAAGGTGACCTCCACACTGACCTAATTTATAAAAAGCATTTTCTAATTTGGCCCAAATTATTTTCCTTACTTAAACTTAACTTAAATAACTAAAAAC